AAATCAGGGTATTAATGCCATCACTGTGGTACTCAGTCTGATTTTATCGAAACTTGCGGACGTCTCAATTCGGTTAGCGTTTTCACAACATCTGAGGAAATTTAGTTTCTTCCGAGAATGATTCGATCCCACTTGATGACGTTCAAGAAGTTTCTTCCTAACACGGTAGTCTGGTAATTCATCTAAATATTAGTATCTCAAGTTTATTGGCTGCTTGTCAGTTCGGATTTGATCTGTTCGCCAAGCTTGTCAACTGACCTTCAAAGGTTTCGTCATCATTTGAAAGGGCATCGGTAATGCGCGCGCTTATCCCAACCGGCCCCTACATGTACGACGACTGCCAGCGATCACCGGGTCTCCATCGTCACCGCCCTTTTCTCAACTTGTGAACTTGGAACGCTCCATCTTTGTGTAGTTTTGCGCGGAAACACAATGGGTAGTGAAACAGAATAGAGAACCGGTTTTCTTGCGCCCTCGGTACTTTGAATGTGCTTCTATCTTGCCCGGTGACAATACTTACTTGGGCAACTACGAGATATCAGCTGTCAGAACCACTTCCCACATCACATTGAAAGCCGTTGAAATGGAGCTTCTGAAACTATCATTCGATGTAAAGTCTCAGGGTGTTCGTACGGCTCGCCTGTCAGGATGGCGAGAGACTCCAAGATATAACTGCTTACTGCACTTATTGCAACTCTTGGCGAAAAATTCCCGACAAAGTGCTATTATATTCAGTAAAACGCTTCGGCACGTCAAATTCCCTTAAAACTCTTCTCTCTCGTCTTGAATTAAGGTTGATGTGGAACTTTTCACTGCTTCTCTTCAATGTAGTTGGAAAACGCCAAGCAATCCTTTCCGAACGCACCCGGTTTTCGAGTTAACAGAAATTCCGACTCTGTTGTCCTTCTACTTGGTGAGTCCTAATCGAAAATAAAGTTTATTACATCACCAAACCGTGCGATGTTCACCGTAACCTCCATGTTCACCTTCATTCCCTGGTCTTGATAAGATTACCAGTATTTACTTTTAAGAAGTACTGTCACAATGCGTTGCTAAGAGAATTTATTTATGCTTTGCGAACTTGACCTTCCCCTCGATGGTAGTTCCGAATACATTGATTCACATGTCCAAATTACAGACAAGATAACGGCATATTTTTACCGTTGTTTGGACTACCTAAGGTTTGTTCTCCCATCAAAGCACTTCACTCCTTCAGCTCAAAACCAACTAACCGCCTAAGTTACAACGATTCCGGTGGGCGAGAAGGTTTTTCACTTTCAAACCACGCAACCGCACTTTTGGTCATACGTAACGGCAGCTGTAACGATGACGAGTTCCTTGCCTCTGGAAATTCCTCGTTGTTGGTCTTCAAGTTTAATGTTCATCCAAAGTTCTAGAATGACTTCACTATATTCGTTTATGTATGTTGAGTCAGTATTGCATAATGTAGTCAGCTTTTTGATTATCTAGGGGTGAGGGGTGTATCCATTCAATGGGATCTCGTCCTTAAGTTTGTTGCCTCATGAATTCTTTCAACATCCTTTTTCTTCATCCTCACTTTTCCCCCGACTCGATTTCCCAAGTTATGCCTCAGTCCATCCACTGCTGCCCGTTCATAATTTCATTTTCATCTCGTGACTGGACGCAACTCATTTTTGTATGCTGAGTTATTAATTTCTGCTTCAGAGTCTAGCATGCAGCCAAAATTCGATACGCTTTTCGCGCAGACACCTCTATTATGTAGTTTGTGAAACCTTTCCAGGGTTTCTCATTTTGCTTGACTGGACCCTCTACCGTCCAATTCAGAACATTCACATTTTTACCACGTTCCGGCTGTTTGCGTATTTGGATTTCACAGAACCTTTCAAACAGCATATTATGTGCCATCAAAGCTGTTATCAGATTGCTAACTGTCCCCTTGAGCTGCATCTGACACACAATCCTCACATATCGAACGATTTCTGTTTGAAGGTCACGAATACTGTGTCGCGTTTGGCCCTCATTTATAAGTTGCTTTCCTGACGTCAGCCCGGTTTACAGCCTAAACAGTTTCTCAAATGCTGTGGTGGTCTTAAGACAGGAGTCGTCACTTCCTGGTTGGGTTTCAGGGTGAAACCGATGCAAACCTGCTAGCTTATTGGAATTACTGATAAAGGATTTCCCATGCTCTGAAATGTACTGACTTTGAACAATCCGAACTGGCCTTCGTAACGTCTCATATCTCTTGAGAACGCAGCATTATGTTTTAGCACTTTTTAATACACGAGATGTAGTCAAAGAAAACCAAAAGAAGCTAGTGGTTTCACGCAATTGCCTTATTTTCAGTATTCGACAACATTCTAGGCGTCGGTAACTCAACTGCTCTCTTCGATCGGTGCATGAAACTAGATTTGCTCCCACGTTCGTCTGTTCGAAATTCTGTTCTGTTCGAATGCTACTGAAAGGTCGACTTGACTTGACCTAAAACACTGGCCTCAATAAAGTAGTCTAAAACGATGGCCTGTGTACAAACGGTCAAAGATAGACTCATTCCGCCAGCCTGGTTATCCTTTAATCCCAAGAGCAACCGAGCGTCCAGATTTCATAGTCTCAAAGATCCGCGAGGAGAACTTAGTCAGATCACAGTCAACCATACCGACTTAAAAGCTTGAAAAATTTCAAAACCGAATTATTCATCCGCTCTAGAATGATTTGATGAGCAACATATCGGGATTGTGTCGGGAATCGAGCTACACCTACGCTCGTCTTCACATTCGAAGAGGCTTTGTACAAAAAAAATAAATAGAGTAGCCCTGGTCTCCCAAATTGCACCAACGATGACAACTATCTTCACCGGGTACCTAGAGAAACTAATGATTAATCAGTTCCCACATCTTTCGTTATTTAATCGCATTATTTTGGTGAGACTTATGATGGCACGACGAGAATTTTCAGGTTAGTTGCCACAATTTCTGAACAGTTTGCAACGACGTGAAGTTTACTCGCCGGACTGCCTCCTCAGCTTCTCGGACTGTTCTTTAGAGCCAACGAATCAGATTTTGATGTGACCTTGTATCGTACGGTGACTCATTTCAGATAGTGTGTGGATTATTTTTCATACCACGTTTGAATATGACACGCACCATTGTAGGCTCACTGATAAGCAAAGCTAAAATGATACATTCTGATGGAAAATTCCGGATACGCTGCAGCGGAACAACTATCTTGTGTTGGTGAAATACATTCATTTGCAAATTAAGCTGGCGTTCACGGGTAACTCGGCTAAATCCCAGCTGAATCCCTCGTTTTAAAATATTCTTCAACTGAGTATGGTGCTCACAGGTCACCTCATGGTTCTTTAGTATGGTATTCGGGACACCGCGGTATATTTTTTTTCTGACGGAACACCTTATGAGTACTGTGATCTGCCAGGAAAATATCGAGTACCTCTCATTGATGAGACACTTGGTCAATCGCAAGCAAGTCGAAACCAAGAAATTAGAACCACCCGATCAGTCTGGCGGAACATACCACTCATAAGGTTGCTGAAAACTCTCCCACGACCGGCTTCGCTGCTCTCATCGGTACCATGCAGTTCCCGAGTGTTCGTCTTGAGTGTTCTACTGGAGTCTCATCAACTGTTCGGAATCTCTGCCGCGCATGGACTTCTGAGCGAACTCGTTCGGTTTTATCCCAACTTGCCGTACGCACACTTCAAAATTGGAAACACTGTTACCAAGATGGCCCAAGTGGTTAGAGCGCGAATTTACTAACCAGAAGGCCCGTGGTTCAAACCCGACCTCTGCCTTCCGACTACCCCTGTCTAAGCTTGGGAAACCTGGCAGTATCCCAGCCATCGTGCAACCTTCGGGTGGCATGGCGGTTAGGCACCGAAAGGGTGCTACAGCTGAACGACTGCTAGCAGGTAGTTGGTACGTGCTACAGACCTCACGACGCAAGTGACTAAACTAACTGTGCGTAGTGAATCTGTTATGGAGATTGAGATGCTAGCCACATAGGAAGGACGAAAAGGCAACGGAGGGAAGAACACACACGCACTCTAACATCCTCCGCAATTCCAAAAACTAGAGAAAGACTCAGCTATTGCTCCTCATGCCGAAGAACACACACTCTAACATCCTCCGCAATTCCAAAAACTAGAGAAAGACTCAGCTATTGCTCCTCATGCCTTGATGAAAAACCACAATGTTTTATCTGACCAGGCTAAGTTCAGACAATGCACGCGGAACGATGTTGTGCGGAAGCCTTGGCCATTCACAGACAACCTGCCTGCGTCAATTAAAACCTCACTCAATCCGTATCCGGTGTCTTGTCGGGGCTTACAAGCACGAATCAATGGCGTGGCTAGCTTGCCTCTACCTTCAACACACAGGTGTGACCATCACTTTGATCAATCTAACGATCTCTTGAATGTTGATAACATGCTGGCAGGTACCAGCCAACCTGTTTCTATTGGCCTTTGGGATTCCTACTACCTAACTCCTGACGATGGTCAGCCGCGATGATCAAGGTATTGGGTTAAAACTGCTCTTACATTTTTGCTTCTTAATCAATAATCAACCCAAATAAAATGATCCACTTCTGTCACTTTCGGATATCCGCAACTAGTTTAGTAGTCCTCAGCAGGTTATTTTGGTCCCAGATTCTCCCTGCTTTCTTTGGATGGTGATTACTGCCTACTTCGACGCTCGATCAAAAAAGAGGAATACGCTCTTACTCACTGCCTGTGTACTTCATGAAAGTCCACGGAAGAACGCGGCTTCTCTACATTGAAGATGGCCGCAATACTTTGGTGTTGTTGTAGTACTGGTTGCCACTTTATCCGAATGACGTTCACGGAAACCCACTTTATCCCTTTTGGTATTTTCCTCATCTACAGAACATGGGTGAAATTGCTGTCAGATCGCGTTTGGTAGGTGACGGATGCAAGGATCCCGCTCTAGTCGATAAGTTTTTCAGCGAGGGTTGAAGTTTCGCGACAACGATGACTCGGCACACACCTCCATTTGATCCAAAAGGCACGTCCATCCACATCCGATTTGTGATCTCGGTGTTCAACTTTATGTTCAGTGTTAAGCATTTGGTTGAATTCACCGTTTGTTTTGTTCTCGCGCTTTCCTGTTATACGTGCCAATCCGGATAAATGTGTTTCTTGAAAAACTCAGTTTCTTCTCATTTTTCAGTTGATTTTGTTTGTAATATTCTCGCCCGCTTAACAGTTTACAGGTTACTGGGTCATACAACGTCCTTAACGTCAGAACTTCGGTCCAAAACATACTCTGGAATCCTAGGCTCGCAGATTTTATGCACTTTAGATTGTCGCGAATCTAAAATACTGAAACATACAAACCGATATTTGTCGAACATGCAGAGAGGACACCGTTGGCTCTTAGGAACATGAACTGTGTTACGATATTCAGTTTCGAGTCTGTGTACTATTTGTCGATAAGTTGTTCGCCGAGGGTAGTTTGTACGGAACTATACATTCACGCGTAAATTTAGATGGAACATCCCCAACGACGTGGATGATGTACAGAAAGTTTCATGCAAGATGCGTTAACACCGCGGGAATACTATTTCATCTCGAATTTCCATCTATTTTCAAGATATTGAATGAAACGGATCCCATATACATCATGTTCATCACCCAGCACATATTGGGGACCAAATCTCTTCAGGCAGATTGAATTAAAAAAAATTGTGACCGATTTTAATTCCGGTTACTTCTTCGAAACACCCCAGAAGTAGCTGCTTCAGTGCTTTATGTATTCTCCCATACGGTCTTCGTATCGCTAGTCGGCAACTCTACTGATGAAGTATGCTATTACCAGCACATTTCTATAATTAGACTTCCTGCTTTTCAGGTTTATGAAATGTGTTGGTGAGAAGTGAAATTTGTTCTTTTCAGCGGTCATTGTGACCAGACCTGGAAAATCCGATTTGAAAGCGTTCAGATGTTTCGATTTCGATTTCTTGAAATTTCGAGTGTGAGTGTATGGGTCGAATTGATCTGGAGGACACCTTTGTTTCTATCACCAAATCCTATGTGATTATTCAATTAGTGGAATTTATCTCGCTCCATAGTCTTCGAAGCTAGCCCAACGCCAACCCGATCGCTGCACGAACCGTGTGCGGAGTTGTCTTCATTAGGGTTCCCGGACATATTGTAATTTGATGCACAAACGCAAATTTCTCAAGGTTACAGTTGCTTCATTTTATCTCGTGTCATTCCTTAAATAAACCCAACTGTTATCAAATGCCAAGCAGGCAATTCACCGTGACATGGTTTCTCACTGAGAACATTTTGTTAAACTTACTGGACTTTGGTTACTAAGCGGGTTGTCACTAAGTTGCACCCACCAGCTTGTTCTCTGTAGGTGAGACATTGTCAAACAGTTGAAACGTTCCATCATTGAGCATAGAGGCGTTTGTCGCAAGTTCAAGCGCATTGACTCACTTTCTACGACCGCCTATCGTAAAATATATGTGCAATTAGGCGCGCATCTATGTTTGGTCGAAATGCCCCTACAGAAAAGATCTTAATCCGCTCAACCTATGTGCCGTCCATCTGATCCTCGGTTCACTCAATTACCATACTTTCGACTAGTTGCAATGTGCCAGAAGGATCATTTGGTAGCATTGAGTGTGCGGTCAACTGCTTTGTTGTTAAGCCTACCTCAGACTAAGCTAAGTAGGTGCCTCCAATATCCGTTGTATAGAGATAGATTGGTCAAACACCCGGACAAGCTGTACGTGTCAGAGGTTTGAAGAATCTCAGTCTCTCTTGGGTGGTTTGGTTGATTTTCTGCTCAACTGTGCACAGTTCAGGACATCTGAACCGCAGGGATATCAACTACCTTTCTGGTACGTACTTGCATGTTTCAGGCATAACTGGGTATCTCGTCGTACGCGGCCCAAGCGCTTGTTTCATACTTTCCCGACAGGTTTGACCTAACGGAAACGTTAGCCCTTCAAAAGCAGTCAGCTGTTCGTCCACCGCGAGCCCAGGCACCGGATTGTAAAGCATTGGTAAGCGCTTCGCCCATCCTTACCAAATATCACGAGTGGCGACTGGTTTATGTCTCGTGACGTGTTGATCGTGTGGCGCATGTGTTTGCATGAGTCTGCGTAGGTAACGTCTGAAAATTTTAAATCCCCAGCCCCATTCCGTAGGGTACAACTTACAGCCGATTATTTTTATATTTATATGGTCAGTACTCCTATGAACACGTGTGTCAAGTCGAGTTCCTTTACTGTAATCCACAAATGTCTTTCCAAGTTCGGGGAATCAAGTAGGGATGGCGTATTGTACATTTCAAGTATCGATCTGATGTTCCTCCTCCGTGATACTGCGATTTCTGTTGGACTTACCGTCACTGTGATAGCATCTTGAATCTTGATTTTTTTGTTCACGAAAGAGCACCTAATCATCCAACTGGGCCATATTTAGGAAGAGTTTATTTACCCTGAATATGCTGGAACAATTCTGCTGATTCGCAAGATCCTTCCACCAGCTCACCGTTTCTGAAAGTATCAAGCGTAAGTAGTCTTGAAAGGAGATTCACGTGTCAGTGCGTCCTTCATTCTCCGCTTCCCTAAATCTGGTTCTCTCGCTTCAAATTTGACTCACTGTCAGTGTCGATATTGTCGCAGTCGGTGCGCCACGTTTACTGTCCAGTAGGATTTCAAGGTCAGAGGCTCGTCAACCGCTTCTAGTGCAACGCCGTTGGCACATATGCGTGCGTGTGACCACGTTTGTTGCATTCCACAGAGGTACATTTGGGTTTGTTTGTGGACCGAAACCAAGCGTAAAGTGCTATCTTTAGGACACCTCATTTAGACCTGACTGCACTGTTAGGATGTCACAAGAGGTTTGCTTAGTGCCATTGTTCTTAGGCCATGGCTAGTCGTTTGCAAGATAAGTTGCCGTCAACTGAAAATCCCATTAAACCTCTCGTTTACGATACACACTCCGAGATTCCAACCAGGGTCGACCTAAACATAGGTTTCGTGTTCTGGTTTGTTGGGTTGTCTTTTTGTTTGGTGTGAGCTCAGTGATTTTAGTCCCACACTTAACAGTGCTGTCATAATTTCCCATAGCTACAAATGTGCCAAAGAGAACGATTTGCGGATTCTGTGGAACTGGTTGAAAAGTATACGAAGGATGCACTGAATCAGCAGCGTCGCGTGTTTGCTTTCTTCATCGGAACAATGGATCCGAATACTGGGGATAGTTGGTGTCCAGATTCTCGCGCCGGTGAGCTCCCGTCCTCCTTTTTCTGTATTCTCCGAACCCTTGATTTTTAGTTTTTTTTTTACCTGGATAGAACTGTGTACCCCTGGTACACTGACGATTCAACACTAATATCGCGGTGCATTTAATCAATTCGCATTCATATTTCTATGCTTTTTCGCTTTAGACTTAATCAGTAATGTTGCAATTAATAAGCGTTTCACGGAAAGTACTAGCGTGGACGGTAATCATGATTTTAGCTCTTATTATCATACTATATTTGTAGTTAGCTGCGAAATCGGATCACTCACCCATGTTATACCCAATCCACATTCCCTTGCTAAAACACCGGCATTTGTTGGTTTTGTTGGTATATTGCTTCAGCTTCTTTTTTTACCCACATTCCAGGCATAATTGATCTCATGTGTTGCATTTAGGCACATTAGAGATACTGTTAGCGTGCTGTGGCACGGTCCAAGCAGAACACCCCAGCTTATCACCGTCTTTGAATAACGCTGGTGGAAAACCTTCTGTATCCGGTGGCGTTTCCTTGCAGAAATACACGTTGACCCATAAGGTGATAGGCCATATGTTGAATCAAATGACTCGAGTGTAAGAGAGGGTAACTGAAGTGTTGAGAATATTCTACCCAGCCACATGTATGCTGATTATTACTATATATTCTTTTTCCTATATTATCTGTGACCCACCAACAGACGATCTCTTGGGTTTAGGATTCCACATTTACCGGGCAACCAAACATAAACTGGTGATCTTGAACACTTTTTAGTCGTTTTACGGTGTCTGGTGAAATGTGTTGCTTGATCAGAGCTAAGAAATGTAACTTTCCAGCACGAGAAAGGAGTTGCTTACACAAGACACCGTCAGCCTTCCGTTATTGTTTTAGTTTCATGTACGAATGAGGTTGTTTCCGCAAATCGCTACTAATTTGCGTGTTTACGAAACTTTTGGTACGTGCGCCCGTGTGACAGACATCGCTTACGTAAAGCGCACACAAGCCAGCTGACCAAAGCTATTTCTGTATCCCTCTTGATCACCCTCGCTGTTGCTAGTAAAATCCGATGTGACACCACCGAATTTCGCTATAGAACTAATGTATTTTTATCCGCGCTTCACTGCTGTTCTCGAATTAGCACTGCTACGGGTCCACATTCACAATGCAGGCAAAAATATTTCGCAAACTAACAGTTCCTTGTGATTGGAATCTGCACCAGACAACATCCAGGACGACCGAAAAAGAGTCAGTTTAGTACTGCATGGGAAATCGTAAATAACGTCTTGAAATGCAAAGCAGCATAAGTTCATTCTTTCCAGTTGCCCCCGCCTTTTGAAGCATGGCAGGATTGCGAAGCATTTAAGGCTGAACTACTTGGTGTTAAATGTGAACGTAAGTATTCACGGATTTCGCTTACGGTACCTGTGGGGAACTTGATAAACGCTGTTAACTGAAATGACTACTGTACATGAACATGACTCTCCCATCAAAACCACATTGGTATACAAACGAGTGTATTTCGCTGCCTTCTTATTTGTTTGCCTATTTACTCTCTCATTTGGACAGCCAGCAGACATTTCGCAAGGTGTGACTGTTCGCTCACTCTCATCGGTCATGAACACAAAACATTCAGTACCTACAAACAGCATGACAAAAAAGTATTGTTTTATGGACGAATGTGGGAGGTTTCGGATAGTTTCAGCGTAGCCGTTCTAATCTGCACCCTTTGTATGTATCAGGTCGACCATCACCATCGACTGCATGACATCAGTGTTCAACACCGATGCTTCACTGCCGTACAACCATGACTTATTTGAAAGCCTTATTGTAAAGAAAAGAGTAAAGGTGGATGGGGGAGGGACTTAGTTCTAGCTTAACACAATCATTCCGAGGTGCTTACACCTCCAGACATTCACTCAGGCAATCTGGATAGAAACTGACGACAACAACGCCACTGGTTTTGATCAGAACTGCTCTCCTGAACCGCACGATTCTCACGTTTCGATTGCGCAACAAGATGAGGAATGGGTTGCATGGACCGCACGCGTCTATCCCCATTGCATGGGTCTACTCTTTGGTATGTTACTCAAATTCTTCTTGGAAGGTAGTCACGTATTCTTTATGAGAAACATAGTTCCACTTTGTAGATGTTTGCATAACCGAGCTGATGGGTGAACTGGTAGACATGTTTGACATTTCATAGCAGCCTGAAGCTGGATCGTATCTTTTCTTGCTATCCCTTTTTCGAGAAACTACCAAGCGATGACTAACAAAACGTTTTCATGGTTGCCATGCTTCACAGTCACATTTGTATGTCTGTCAAAATCATAAGAACTATCATATGACAGAACACTATTGAGACGTCGGTGCTTCGTTTCATCGACTCCCAGGAGCCTGTGTGCACGAACGTCCAGGCACATTTTTCCATACACCGGCCATCATGAATTGTCCATTTGCAATTGATCAGACAAATTTCAAGCATAAAAAAGAAATGGGTCGAAAAACGAAGTGGTGCGCGAGTTAGAGTGATTAGGATGGCCTTATTTTTGTGCTTATGGGTTTCGTAGTGGTAAATAAAAGGACCTAGTAAGGGGGAGAGAATAATTTTCTTGTGCAGCTAAATGTTGTGGCGCATTTCTCCATCATCACCTTATTGATCGATTCATCATTATCAATAAGCTTGTGACAGATGCACAAATATTACATACATTCTAATGGAAAATAACAAAAAGTGTATGTATCATCATATGCCGACTTCGACAAAGCGAAATCAGTAGCCAAAAGGCGTACAAAGTGTTCCCGCACTGAAAGGAGCTCATCATGACGAACTGTCGAGAAAAGCATGGTGAAAGTGAATGGGCTGAACGTTAGTGGCAAAATACACAAGACTCAGTTTGTCATATTTTTCGTCCCATTTATTAACAAAATGCCTTATGTTCTTTAGCGATACTTATGTATCCCATGGAGACCAGAAGCCCGAACTGCCTAAGTGCGGTGGTTTCAGTATCCAAAAAGCCATGTTATCGGCAAGAAGTGGTGTCCGGACAGAAGTCTAACCGTTCATCGGCGTGACGTGATCACTGATAGTTAGTCATATGCCGCAGAAGTTAATAGTCACTAGTTATGCACCTGCTGTGATTTAACAGCAAAACCGGTGAGTCGGTATGAGCTCACCGCCTGTCAGCCGCAGGCTTGTTTTAATGGCGCTAAAGAGATCGAACACCATTCGTCCACTAGGTTTAACGGTGCGCATTTCACCGTCGTTTACTCTCGCATATATTGCCTACCAACTGTAGTCATCTCTCTCAAGTTGATCAAGTCCATTCACTCAGCGCATTCATCAACGTTTCTGTGTATGCTCTTCGTCTACGGAAGCGGTTGAGCATGAGCCATTACACGCATCCGTTTCATAATGTGGACGCCAATCTGAGGGGTGATCACAAGAAGCGCTTCAGCTGACAGTACGGAAATGTTATCAAGCTGGACATTCCTGGTTGTGTCGTTAATTTCATCAACACACATCGACTCCAATGCCCGTATTTTAGTCATCATGTCGAACTTAATATATTTGAAGGGGGATCCACGATTTGTTTTCACTCCAAGAAGCTAATAACCCGAAGCAGCCAGGAATGATGTATGGAGTCGTTCAGACTGTTCGAGACTGGCAAGGTGTTCCATGCACTGGTTGGCCAAATATTGCTCATTGAACTCTAGAGACGTTCGTTGAATCAACGCCGGCTGTCTACTGTCCAATACTGTTTCACAGACTCGTCGGAGTAGTTATCATCTTGTCGGTTGGCGTTCGTTTCCCCTAGTTAATATTTCTGTTCACTTCACTGCGCAGTAACTTCTCTTGGCTTAAAGTGACTGGGTTGCCTGACCGAAATGCAACCAGATTGCAAGTCAAGACAGCTTAATTCATTCTCGAATTTAATCCGCCCACACGGTTTCGTGGGAATACCCAGTCATGGGATGACAATTACTTGGATTTATTCCATGGTACTCATGTACTGAGCGACGCTGTCTAGTCACCGGATTTTGAGGATAGTTCTAAAACCGCTTGATTCCCGGCTGAATTTTTCGGTTCAGACAGCGGGACACTCCTGTTACACGCATTGCAGTTATTGTCGCGCTCTAATCTGTGTTGTTAGTGCCATGTGACGTTATCCATCCCCATTTTTCCATACCTCGATCAGCGGAACCCATAGTAGAAGAAGGCACGAAGAAAATGAGCGAAAAAGACCTGTTCATAATGTGCGAAGTTGGGGATCGTGATCAGTAAGTTTATTGTGTAAATTTTTTACCTTTTTGCTACGCAGTGCTATTCACTAATCTACATTTTATGAAATCCAATAAGGTAAGGGTATGTTGCATTCAACGTATTCAAACAACCAGCCTCTGTGGGACTCCGTGTACGAGATGAAAGTTTGGATTGAGCATTTATCCATCCCCATTTTTCCATACCTCGATCAGCGGAACCCATAGTAGAAGAAGGTACGAAGAAAATGAGCGAAAAAGACCTGTTCATAATGTGCGAAGTTGGGGATCGTGATCAGTAAGTTTATTGTGTAAATTTTTTACCTTTTTGCTACGCAGTGCTATTCACTAATCTACATTTTATGAAATCCAATAAGGTAAGGGTATGTTGCATTCAACGTAATTCAAACAGCAGCCTCTGTGGGACTCCGTGTACGAGATGAAAGTTTGGATTGAGCATTTTTTGAGTGCATTGGTGCTGGTGTAGAGAGTTGATGAGACCCCTCTCAAAGTTGAACGACGGTTATCCGGGATCTTGTAAGCTGTCCCACCGTTTATGTACGGTTTTGGCGGGGGCGCATCCTTCCACAAATTGAGTGTTGCTGTGGATATTTCCGTATGATTTACATGCTATGCTGCCTACCCGCACTTCTCGTAGGAGAAGCAGAGAAGACAGTCAATGAAGTGTTAAGTGTAAGCCTAATAGCTTTTGACTGAATTCGTAATTTATGAACGAATATGCTCAATTTCAGGATAGCTCGGAAAATGATAAGTTATGCCAAGAACCGTAGTGTTCGTCGATTCCACGGAGCACCTGCTTGAACACTAGGCACGCAAAGACCAGGAGCAACGGTTTTAAATAGTATCATACTTCCTAGATCTGTCGAATACTGTAGACCATCAAGACGGTTGATCGACCAACACACATTGACTATCTCCGCAATGGTGATGTTTAACACAAAAGCGACGGGCGAAATTCACCCCACGTAGACGACGAAACTTCCGTTTTAGTGGATTACTTGGTAGTTTCTCCTATGAGACTTGCTCGAAATGAGGTTACAAATGCCATCAATGTGGCATTAAGCCACATTTTACTGGAACTTTGCGCACACTTCAAATTGGTTCACATATTCACTCTGGTTTTCATTTTCGTTTCTTCCGAGATTGGTGCTGTTCGCCTTCTTGACTTACAAGGAATTTCATCTATATGAGGTAGTATTTTTTCCACAGCTGGCTTAAGAATCATGCTTGTTTATATACAGTCACGTCTATTTTTATGTTTGCGCGATACCACTATGAGAGTTTGGAGGAAACTTATAGATATGGCGCTATTTTTCAAGCCGAGTTGTATTGTTTACCTCTATCGAGTCCGTCAAATTTTGGAATCCACACGCTGATTCGTTACACGCTCATGTTATCTTCCGGTACGAATATGATACAGTTTACACCAAACATCTCCAGACATAAGTTGCAGTTTATACGACAGTACGACTGGAAAATTCCTGAGCTGTCCATTTTGAAATTATCCCCTTCTTGCTGTCACCAGATAGACCTATTCCTCGAACATTCAATTTTTTCCCAGCGGGAATCTTCGTGGAGATAAACGCTCACTTACAAATGGAAGACTCAAATAAATTGCTTGTTTACTGTTCGAACCAGGACAAAATTAGCATTCCTAGCTTTTTCTGGTGAGCCGCACATTAGGCAAAACCGTGAAAGACTCAGCATTATATGTAGTATCATACACTAACGGTATCTTGAATATCGTTACAACTGAAACGTGAAGCTGCATACGCGCAACACATCAAGTTTGAGAATATATTGGACGAGGGTTTCGAGTCTCAAATTTATTTTCAACTGAAAATTGGTTCAACTAGCAGCTTGCATTGGCCTACGTCGCTCAAAATTATCATCCCGCTCTTCAGCCATGTCTACTGTCGTATTTTTTCCATTGATCATAGACTTCATGGTTTTTCTTTGCAACGAAATAATTTATCGTGGAACAAAATAATGAAGTGACTGGGGAAAAGCCAGTGGCTTCTTCAAGGAATGAAACATCTTATACAGATCCAATGAGGAATGTTTGCTTCGGACTCTTCTTGGGAGTGGTTCCTCTTCAAACACACTCCCCTTCTCTCTTGGAGTCTAGCGCAATTTGATACCGTTTTTGTTAGATTTCAGGAAAGACATTACGAAATGCAAGGATTTCGGTAATTCCCATCGGTGTTATACGGTTGCAGAGATCGCTGTCACACAAAAGTGACAAGATATGCGCAGGCAATTTCACGCATTGCAGAAATGGGATGTGATTTTACTTGGCTGGACACTGTTAAAAATATAGGTTCTGTCCTGTGACAACAGCCCATGCTGCTCATGTCTTAAATTGTATGGTTGATTGTTTTAAGGTGTTGGGTTCCTGGTTTTCGTTTGTACGTCAGCACTAGAACTCCGCTTTTACTTAATTAAGTTGACCGGATTGTGCGCAAACTCCCTTGCGCCACTGTCAGTCATGAGCTCGACCGCCAGAGTTTAACATCCCGTACTTCAGTGTGTCTTTCAGATAGTCTTCAACCCTGGTCTCTCTGTCGATACTTCTGCTGCTGCAATAAGCGGTATTCTTTTTAAAGACACTAACTGGATAAGAGTGAATGCGATCTTTCCACAACCAAGACTTATTAACCCAGCTGTACATCGTGCGTTTATGGGCAAAAATTTCCGACAAAGTGTTGTTACCTTCGGTTACACTTTGGGCATGGACAAGTCTCCCTAAAATCCCCCCTACCATTACCCATTATCTCTCCCCGTCAGTCAATTTTGATGGAGAACTTTTCACTGCTGTTTCTCAATGTAGTTGGAAAACGCCAACCAATCCTTTCCGAACACACCCGGTTTTCAAGTTAACAGAAATTCCCACTCTGTTATCCTTTTGCTTGGTGAGTCCGGATCGCAAAAAGTTTGCTTATTGCATCGACTAGCTATGTAGTGCTCATCAGCTTTGTCCTGGCTACGATATCGTGGCTGGTGGTACTCCTTAGTCGTGATCAAAACAACCTGTTGTGAGGTGTCTTTCACATGCTCCATATTTGCGAAATGCACGCTACACTTGATCTTGGTCACGAGTATTTTTATTTTCATATCCTAGATTAAGGACAGTGTAATATCACATTTCGTCCAAGTTCTGTCATTTTCAGTCATAGTTGTCACTACAAAATGTTTGCATATTTAGTTAGATACGGTTGTGGTACCTTAACTGCAATGACTGTACTCGTTGTCACCCATCTGCAGAGCAACAGGGGTATTGAGAACCGGATCCATTCAATCAAGCCAACCTGTGTGAAGAAAGTCCTCTATTTTAAAAGCCAGCCTATCACAAACATCCGAGTCGCATACACGGACGCTCAGTTGTCTTCATCAGGTTAGAAACTGCAAGCATTAACAGCACTAGTACCAGTTCACCGCATACCCATCGGATCCACGTAAAACCCACACTGAAAGGTTGAGCGAGTGAGATTCTCGCAACCTGCTTAATTTCCTTCCAATAAGTCATAAGTTACCTGTTCTAGGTTTGCGCTGCTCCAAATTCAGTGTGGAAATCACGACTCTCCTGGAGTTATGAGTAGAGCATTACTCAGCAGCCGAAGTATGCGATGTCAAACTAATCACCAAATGAAGTTCCCTCTGTAACTTCGAACATTTATTTGACCATCAGGTCAGTCCAAGTTCGTTGCCACCACTCTATATCAGAGATAGTTGATACCTGTGATCGGTGAGCCTTGGCCTTATCAGATCCTCTACACACAAAAGATGTCCCACAGTTTAACCTTATTCACTAGACTTCCAAAACTCACACACAAATGGAGCGACTTAGAGAAATTCGTCTTTTGACCCCATCCATCACGCTACCGCCAAAGGCGGAATTGTTCCAGTGAACTGCAATGGGCGTGTCATAAATCCGTCATTGTGGAGCACTATTTTACAGTTTTTGGTTCCGAAGCGCATGCTAAGGGGTGGGACGACCCTACCGCGTTTCGAATTGGATGCTGGCTGATCGGCACTCCCGGCAAGTTGGTAACACTATCGCCCATAGATGATGGCTGCCGAAGACCAGATTTTGTCACCGTCGGCAAATTCCCGTTTATCCATCTGCCATAAAAATAAGATTCAGGTATCTTAATTTAGTTTTCCTATTACTTAAGGTCTATAATCCACTTTCCCACCTGGAGCTTCCTATCGCATGCACACTATCACTCCAGTTTCTGCTGTACCCCGGTTTTCTCTCTATCTGACTCCAAGATATTTTCCAAGCATAGTGGTCTAACCACTTCTGTCCATCGATCTGGATCAGGTGACGGTTGATCTGTTTGCCAAGCCCGGGGAACTTGCTAATGAACGTCTGGTCAGTGTACGTACGCCACCCTGTCACTGTCCGCGGTATGAATGTTGACAAATCCCTCCACCGCCCCGTAAAACAAACGCCTTTTTCACCATTTCCACCACTTAAGTATCGTTAATCGTTTGGCTGCGTATGCGGTGGCGGGAGAGTAACACGCCTGATGTCGAATTTTCGAACGAATTCACCAAATTGGTGTGGTATGAACTGAGTACCATTGTCGGACACAATAGTTTCCCGGATACCGAATATTGAAAACAAATGCCGCAGTTTGGTGATGGTTGCCGTCGTTGTTGTCTCAGACGTAAAAAAAACACTTTAGGCCCTTTATGAATGCATCAACAACGATGGGGGGAGCTTCGCTTATTAACTAGTCCTGCAAAATCCACATGGATTAACGATCACGACTGTCCTCAAGGCTGTGATGTCTGTCGGTTGGGTAACTTCTGGGCAGCTCCGAGGCGCCTGCTCCATAGGCTTATCCAAATCGGACAGATAAACGTAACTGCGAGCAAACGCTTCCATGCAGCGTATCCCTGGATGTCCATTGTGGAACTTTGCTAGGACCCGGGGCAAATTCGGGAGGAACGGCGATTCGGTTACCAAATAGAAGACAACCAGTGACAAGGGATAATGAGTGCCGTTATTGAAAAATTGTTGGAGTTATCCTGGTGGACAGGTTGTTGGTTGGTGGTAATCCATTGCCTTCTGTAGTGTGTTGTCATTTTTAGTTTCGAAACTCATGGTCTCCAGCACCATAGCACGGATTTCTGATTCGACGGCAACGGCTACTATGACGGTATCTTCCGGCTATATTTCATGGAAATCAATCAAGCGCGAAAGCGAATCGGCCTGCTTCATTTTCTCGGTTGAGGTATACTTGATCGTAAAGTTGTAGCGAAGCAGAGTCGTGCCCCACCGTTGTAAGAATTTGGCGATATAGACCTCTCTGGAAACCAAATATAGCCAACATTAATTTTTGATCCGTCACAAACGTAAAATTTTGGCTGTAAAAAATTTTGTGGAACTTCTTCACACTCCCAAAGTTGATCGAATGTATTGGAATAGGCGTATTAATCGTCAGATGTGTGGATTCCTCTGGGACTGAAATTTTCAAGTAGGCTTCTGAAAGATACGGCTTTGAAAAATACGTACCGCCGTTCATCTTGGCAAAAATCCGAGACGTCATTATATTTCTGGTGTAATCTTAGAATCGTTACATCTACTGGGTTACTGACCTCAGACACTCAAAATCTGAGTTAGTGTTAATGTATATGATTTGTGGGTCGGCGGTGCCGAAAATTGCACACGATCCAGTTTACATCCAGGTAAGGTAGATAGTACGATGATCACGATGGTCTGCTATCTCCGTCCTACAGTCAAATTCACCAAACAAATGAAGCATATCTGTGTGCTTTTCTGGTGGTGTTCACTGTCGATCTGTATTTAGATGATCCAATACTCCTTCAGGTCCGACGAAAAACAGTCGCAATATCGGAAGCCGTATTGAACTGTAGTAGAATTGTGCTTCCGTTCGCTCTGATGGTTGCCTGGTTATCATGGGTGCCAGATACTACGTTAAGCCGGGGATCTGACTGCATCCGTCTGCTTCGTGATTTCCGAATTTTGCTGATTGCTCGACTAGGTTTCCGTGTCCGGCACTGGCTTTCCTATTCACGTCAATTACATACCGACAATTGTTTTTTATAAGTAGACAGTTGCACGGAATGTCATTCCCTGCACTGCCAGCATGTCGATGGGGGCTTTCCTCCGTCCGAAATTGCTGCCACGTGAAGTTGCCCCGAAGTCGTCTTGGGAATACTAAAAGCAGGGTTGGATGATGATCGCTCCAACATGTGTGTGTCGGTGGCGCTCGTGAGTAGTAACGTGCAGTGTCATTTCTGGAGATTGTTCAATGTGGTTGAACAGCCTCGTTCTGATGTTACCTTCTAAATGGGACTGAAAGCCGCATGTGAAAATTGGACCCCTCGAACTGGTCTTCCGTCATGGTAGACACTTTGAATTGCTCACATTCAAGATTGACTACCGGCGTAAGTTATGTAGTCTTCAGGCTCCCTCTATTAATTTCATACATTGATAGAGAACATTAAACAGGCACGAACGCTCACCGAAAATTGCCTAGAGTTGCTACACGGTTTCGTCAAAACAGATATTGTGTGTCCTTTGCCAGGATGAAGTTGAAGTAACGTGTGTGTTCCGTTGTGCCAAGTTTTCTGAGTAACAACAGCACTCGTCAGGCATAATTGTTCAGTTTCAGTTCAGCTGAAATATCTTTGTAACGTTTGAACGACAAATCGAAGATTAGACAAGCATAAGGCTCATGCTGGGACTCCGTGATGCTGTTGGCGATCGAGTCGACAGAATTTGTACCTGGTGGTTGAATTGTGAGTTGCCACATCAAAGTATCCATTGATCGCAATTGTGACGCTTAAAAATGACTTCATTGTTGCACCAGAATTTCCTCCATCGCTTTAGCAGTTGTCATATTTGCATGGGTTCGGTTGCCACCGATCTGTTGTAACTAACTGCTGTCCGCGCTCCAGTACCTTATTACCCGAAAAAGATTCGCTAATAAGGAACACAACAGCTTTATTGCGAAAGTAGCAAGAAGTATGGCGATGTATACTGCGCATTTTCGACCTATTTCAGGCTGTCCGATCGGCGTCGCCTTGCTTCTTGGCATGCCTGAGCAGTCGTCATCCTCGACCGCTTCTGAACGGATTGACTGCTTGTGTGGCTGGCTTTTCTGGCCCGGATGCTTAACAACTTCTCTGCTGCGATTTCGGTGGGGTTCAAGGGTCTCGGTAGGGATTGTTTTCAGGAATTTGACATTCTTGGCAGGTTGTAGCGTACTAAAGATGTTATTCTTTCCAGCGCTGTTCTTTGGCATATTTGTTACTTTGCTAGTTTGTCCCCTGTGGTGTCCGAGCTTTGTCCCGTTTGATTCTTAATTAGGCTTCTCCAGCCCTATCCCATTTGACCTCCTTCATTTTTCTGACTGTAGAACGCTGGTCAAATAGCCGTCAAATCTCGCTTGGTAGGAGACGGCTGCAAGGATCCCGCTCAGGTCGGTACGTTCTTCAGCGAGGGTTGAACGTCGGTCATAAAATTTCATCTGACATTCCCAAATCTACCATAAAATACGTCTTCGTTAACGTGTGATTTGTGATCTCAGCCTTTAATTTCTTGCTTTTATTTCTGTTAAATATCTGTGGAACTTTCCGTTTATTTTTTCCCGACGAACTTAGTTGTCGTTTTGTTTGCAGATCTATTGAATCATGTTCGTTTCGCCTTCAGTACATTTCTACCCCAGCAATTTCTTTTTTCTTCTCAGGAGGGAAGCTGTTGACGAACTACCATGGTTGTGCTCTTAGACATGTTCAGCCTTATTTTGACTAGGGCCATCTGCGTCATGTCTGCGGTACTGTGTATTTCGTCCACGCCGCTCTGATTGGTGAATTGCTACAAATACTCACTGGCATTCGGGCTCATGATGCACAATTTCAGCCAAGTCTAAGGTGAACGAAGCATGATTGAGTATGTTCCTTTTTGTAATAGTAAGAGGGCGATTGAGAAACAAGCCGTTCTCAGGACTTGGTCCTCGGATCAATACTCGCCTAATAACTACATGGTTGAAATGGTGAAAATCAAGCGATAATGTTGGAAAACGAGTTGTGATTCGTCCACCACAAAAAACATGAGTGGACAACCAGTTGATCAGTAGACCTAAAGGTCAACTGACTGAAAATCACAGCCTGTTTGTGTGTTTAAGCTGTGTACTTTCGATGTTACTTATTTGTTTCGATTTGGGCCCCTGGTAGAAACTAAACCCATTATCTGACTGTATTGCGTGTACCAGCGTCGGGCTAACATCACTTTAAGTAACTCGTGCTTCGGTCATTAAGACGCAGTTTACGTCTAATATTGATTTGGATGGGGCCGCTGTAGCCTCCTCGGTGGGACCACTACGAGCTGACGTTCTAAATGGCAAACTCTAAACAGGCTTCATGAAACGTTCCATTGGCTGTTACTATCGCCGTTTACTCGACGATATGTCTGCTGTCATTAATGACCTAAGCGACGTCACCATCTGAACCTGCCTAATTGCTACTACGAAAGAAGAGCCAAATAACAGTTTCCACTTACTGAACTTCGGATCAGCCAGGCGTGAAGATGGCTGCGCTAACCGCCGCATTTGTATAACATCAACTTGATTCAGGCGGTACACCGACTCTAGAACCTTTGTGCCCATGAAACAAAAAACCCTCATCCATAATTCGTACAGTAGGACAGTCTAAATTTGTTCACAGAACGACCTGTGACATAAGTTCAAACGATTAGAGAATATTCTAGGAGAAAATGGCTTTCCAGCAAGTCTAACTCTGCGCTGTATGCGCAGTTTGTCGAGAAAACGTCAGGTTATTATAGCAGTATGGCAGTCCATACTGGTGTTGTTTTCAGGGAAGCTCATAAAGCCGAATTGACCGCATAAAGAAGATATCCAGACAGACTGGCCCACCCTTATATTCTATAAAGGCATAAACAGAACGTTCCTCGTCGCCACGTTTCTTACCTGGTCCACGACTCAATGGCTGCTCCTCATTAACCTGGAAGACTGATGGCATGTGCTTGCCCAGAATACAATGGCATATTCATCTTCATGCAGTTGTACTGCAGAGTATATTGGCAAATCAGTCAAACAATGACCACAAGATATCAGTAAGCTGTGCAGTCGTTCAGTACTTGATCGACACATACCACACTTGAGACCCCACCGAATCCGCTCGGATTCTTCGAGAAACGCAATCATCAACCCAAATCGGCTTCCATTGTCTCCGTGTCGAAGGCGATTCTCATCGGATTTCGTGACCGTTTGCCACAACTCAGTTCTTGTGGTCGAACACATTCACAAGCTCACGCACACCCCGCTATCACCTTCGCCCTATGTACATCCAGTTGGTTACCTTGTCCCAGCTGTTTATAGCTTGCCGATCCATAGCGTTGTTATACGTTTTTTGGATAGCCTCACGTGGCAGTTATGTAAATGCACGTCCGATAACGTGCACTTTTAGAGTATCGCTTTCTTCTCAGGCTAAGGTTGATTCGGTGCATTCCTTAACCGGTCGTTCCAACCTAGAACACTGCTCTTTCTCTTATTATGCCGTCAACTCTCCACTCAAGATTGCATCATTGTAATACAGCGAGCGAATGCACCACCCGAGGATGAAACTACCAACATCACCGAGCGTGACTCGCATTTGCCGAACTTATCCCTAATATTAGTATTGAGCAACATTTCATTACTGAAGCGGACCTTCGGTTGAGCAACATCAAACGTTCTTCGGTTAACGTTCTTCAGGTTAATGGTTTCAGAAACGCTGTCGCTCCTTCCTCTTCAAGAGTGACTAGTTTTTTCCCCTTCCCTGCCACAAACTTCACTGACTATCCTTTTCTCGCCAGGGTTTTCGATATGAACATCGATTCGGCACCTGTTAACCGTGTAGATATTTTGTATCCTGCTTACCTAACACTTAAAAAGTATTCGTTTGTTTGATGTCCACAAGACCACGTGGCTCCCCGCTATACTTGTCGTTTAAGTATTTTATCTTGCTTCCAAGTGAACCCAATGAAGCGTTCCATTGGGTTCATGCTCCACGATGGAGTGGAGTGCCAAGTATGGTGAACTAAAGATGTTCGGAACCGCCAATAAACCATAACAACGAAGTCACCGGTAGTTGATCGGTTACTTGTTCCACAACTTCATGCTCAGTTTACACTAAGATACCTCCTGCAATCGGGCCAAAAGGATGACCCGTCGCACTCCTATCCCTGCGTTTATTGGTTGAACCACTGAATGAAAACTTTTGAAAGAGTATTATGAAAGAAGCATCGGGTGCAGTAATTTATAACTTGCTGGTGGCATTACAGATGTAGCTAAGTGCTTCGAACTATGGCCCATTTCTCGTTTACTCTGAAGAATGTGCGTTCATCGGGCAACCTATCGACATCAACCCTTGAAGGTTAGTGGAACTTTCGATTCCGTAAAATCACAATCGCTATGTAGAGCTCGTAAGGCTCATTTGTGCTTTGGTGTAACGAGGAAGTAAATTTAACCCGACCAAACTTGACGGAGACCTGTACATCGTCGGTTTTTTATCAAGGCATCGTATCACTTTGTTTTTAACAATAGACTGTTAACAAGTTGCGTCGAAAAGTAACGCTTCCCTTGATTTATTTTCTCATGCCATAAGCCGTCCAAGAGCAATCTCATGATCTGGATCTAACAATACTATTTTGTAACGGGGGTCTTAGACGATCTCTGGTATGTAATGGCTCACGTCAAATGCGCTCACGGTAGGTTTATTAGAACAATCGATGTGAGCGTACTCCTCGCGTGTTGTGGCCTGTACAAAGTACAAACTCTGACTGATGTTGCACGTGGTTCGGCGTGACAATATATCACTCGCATTCTGTGAAATAATCAACATGGCTAATGTCATCTGAGACCTGATACGGTCTTTCATCTGAGTGTGCATGTTAGTGACTTGTTGTTGTTGTTGTTCAACCCTCGCATCGAATAATGCAATGTTATTTTTAGTAGATTGGATGTTCGATTCATCATAGAATGACAGCATTCGGTTGATTGATGAAAATCCTGTCGATGGGATGTTAAACTTGATCGAGTTTGGAAAGGATCCGATTCAATTCATCACAAGATGTATTTTACAAAATTGTGAGACTGGTTGCGTGGCTCTGCGGGTCACTCGCCGGTGACGCGGCGTATGTCTTTCCCTCTCAGTTACAACCATCTCTATGATACCCCCAAGGGATCTAAATTTTTGAGGTCATAATAAGGACTGTGTGGCCCGTACACGTTATTTATGCCGATTGCTCCTCTGCAGTAGGACCTGTTTTCAAAGTAAATTTCCACCATTCGGTGGGATCCCAGCAGTGCGTACAACCTATGACTCAGGTCTATCTATCAGCCCGCTGAGCATTGTTAGATAAACTGAGTGGCGTATAAATCTATCAACTTCGATAATATAGATGATGTCAGATGAATTGTGGCATTAGTTTGCAGCCTACTAACTGCCCCTTCTTGCTTTTCGTTACAACAGAATGACGAGTTGTACTGTTTTCCATAACAAACTGTCTCCTAGCTCCGTTAACCTTTGTCTCGAACCATGTGGGAACCGCCCATAGTTTGGTTCTGATCTCATGACACAATTTCCTTAGAAAGGTACTGTCCGGCGCCGGTTATGATATTTCTCCGAGATTTAAGCATTGCCATTTTTCGGTCTGATGTCTAGTGCTTGAGTGCGCTTGGTGGTGCTATGCCTTCTCCCAGCACTATGCAAAGAGTTTGCGATCTCGTCCCAGTATGAGCTCACATCTGATGGTGGAGCATTTGGAAGAGACTCTAGAAGATGATTCTGGTAAGTTCGTCTGACATCCGGATCTGCCAGTCTTTCAGTTGCCAAGTGATTCGTTCGCGCCTTACGCGACCCTGGTAAACGTAGGGAGAAGCGACTTCGGACGAGTGCGTGGTCAGAGTCCACAACTGTATTCCGAAACGACCGGCGGTCAGTTATGGATCCGCGCCATCGGTAACTGATGGCAATGTGGTCGATTTGATTTTATGACCGGTATGCCGTTGGATGATACCAAGTGGCCAGACGATTTCGGCTATTTCGGAAGTTAGTACTGCACAAAAACAGCCTGCGATCAGCACACAACTGAAGTAATCGTTCCTTATTGTCCGTGCGTACCAATTCCAGACCATTTCAACCTCCTAATTGAGTCTCAGATGCACTAAACATGCTCACTTGCACATTCATATCTCCGGCAACCACCACAATGTCAGCTTTTAGCTCGCCGCAGCAAGCCATTCAGGGGTCGTAAAATCTGTCTTTGATGGCGTCGAGCTACAGTCAGTTTGGGCGTTAGCAGACACGATAAACAGACATCTATCAACTTGCCGCTTGTGAGACTCCTTTGCAGACGTTGCCAGACGAAGCGCACAGAGGCGACTAACAGGTATCCAGTCAAGTAAGGATACTTCCGCCCGGTGACTTACGACGATGCTAGCCCCTGCACATCCCGCCACCAGAGTTGCATGGCCGGAAGCGAGTGGGGATCGGTGGGACGGTTAGCTCAACCACTGTGCTTCCATCTTCAATTCTTGTTCTGAGACGCAGCGCACATCAATGCCAAGCGAGTCCAGTGTGAGAGCATTAGTAGCTTGCTGTCCTGCTCGCTTCAGAGTAAGGACATTGAAGGCGGCCAGAAGACTGGGTTTCGATGCTTGACGATTGATTTGGAGATACCTGAGGATGTCAGCGCCATGTGACGAGCAGATGCTGCACGCAAAACCGATGCAAGACGAACGGGGTCATCAGTCCCAAGTGCTGGGCCTACAAGAGGGGAGTTATTAACGGGGTGAGGAGAGGAGAAATAAACAGTATGTGAAAGAGAAAGAAGGGAGGCAGTAGCCTGTTTTCGCTTAGCACCCTGTTTTATGCAGCAAGTAAAGCAACCCTGCCTATGGCACCACGTGACGGACGATGTGTTATAAGTTTATTGTTAGACGTAGGTATCATAGTTGTTCGTGTGCTGAGATACTGCCACGGCGTCCACACCTAGACAAGAGGACGATTAGGGTCCTCAACCAAAGCCTTTGGCTCTAGAGCTTAACCGCAAAGCAGCGGCGTTCGGCGAAAATACAAATGTACTACCATTTCTACGGAACGAATCGCCACATGTTCCAATACGCAACCTGAGGACCAGGGGACTGTGTTCAACAGACCTGTAACTATTGACCAGACCGGTATGAGTGTCGTGGGGACACCCCTCAGTACAGCTAGATGGGTTGCTGAGATGCGCAAACTGTTACACTAGTGTAATTTCCAGTCCCTTCGTGACGGTTCCTAGTAGAGCACTTGAAGAAAAACCCAAAAGCTGTTTTTCAAGGATGTGTAGGTCCCTTAGTTTATTAGAATATAAGATGTTATTGTGTGCGGTACGCCGAACTGACGTACAGATCTGCATCGAGAGATGAAATTCACACAGAAGTGCACAGGTGGTACTCAATTCGGTTTCTGGGTACGTAACCTTGGTCCAGCATGTGTAATAACCAAGGATTCTAGAAAAATCTTTCCTATAATAAAGCCAGTCGAGTAGCCCATGGACTCTCCATCTGATTGTCAGATTCAAATGTTTCACAACGGGAAAGGCTGAGTTACGGTAGAACGTAGAGTCAATCTAGACAGATTTGTTCTGGGCTATAGAACTCTCTGAGTACTTTCAGTATCCTCTTAGGTCTAGTTATATAATAGACTTCAACACAACGGCAGGTCGAAGAGTATATACAGTTTGGTGTTGGAAACATTCACGATGAAGAATTTGTTGGCGGCAAGAGCTCCTTCTTAGTCTGCAATAGAAATCGCTACTGTTCAGCTCTGTGCGTTCCCTTTACGTTGCGTCCACGGTCATGTTTATACATCCGACAGCAGAAAAATTCTGCGCCGTCATTGCGCTCCATCCATACCTCAGATTGATTTACTCTGTGATTCGAAGCCGCCAAGTATTTTGCCATTTCAGACACTGGGAAGATGGGCATTTCGGTTTCTCGTAAGCTTTCTTGGGCTAAATGACTTTCTATCTGGCAGAATATAGACACTCATTAGTCCACACTACGTTATGTAGACCGACGCGCATAGGTATGCTTGATGCGCTGGGAAGTAAACTAGAGTTCGGCGTGAACAGTCAAGAAAAACAACTACCCATTTTTCTTCGCACCCACGTAGAACTCGCCCTCAGATCGAGGTGAATCTATCTGCAGCGAGGATGTATAAGTTCCTGCATCCACCCTACAAGGCACCATTTCCACCAAATATGTAGAACACAAGCTACACGGTATTGAAGAAAACCCATAAGGCCCACAGCTACCGAAAGTTGTTTTGCTGGATCACTGACCCATTTATTCTTTAGTCACATTCACTTTCCAATTACAAAATATACTTCCATAACTCCATTCAGTAAGGTTTGCTAAACAATCGGCGGATTTATTGTTGGGTGATGTGTTGCTTTCGACGCAAAAGCTTCTTCAGACCAGACCGGTCAAGTTTTAAGGTGGAGAACCAATCAGTGAGGTCCCTTTCAACCAGCCGAATAAATCAAAACTGAGTATAAGTCCGAATTCATTGTTGGCTATTGTGGATGACTTGCGTTTACGACATATGGGTTGCAGGATTTTGGACCTTGCACCTGCGTTTTAGCGGACTAGTCATCACAAATTTGTTGCTCTGTGCTAGGGAAACTGGACTGAAGTTGCAGAGATTAAGTGGAGCTCACTCTGTGTACTTCATTTTTATTAGGTGTATGTGACTTACCACAAGACGTGATGAGCAGAGATTTTGACGACTGTGCTCAGGTCCTACAGTCGATCATGGGTAGCCTCATCCTATGCATTATCTTACGAACGACGTATAACCGGGAAAACCATCAAGTGTTTGTTGAACTATTGCGAATAAGTGAAATATAGCGCATCCCCATTACCACCCTTCTCGGTGTGACATTTCAAGGAATGGAGTTTTCGCCAGTTCTAACAGACAGCCGTAAATAAGATTGGTGAATCCTAAAGAAGAATCATTAATAAACGCGCGACTGGATCCCTAAAAAATATCTATGCAAAGCCCCTCTCACTGATAGTAGTGTGAGAAAGTTTGGCCGATTTTAACTGAGATTTCGTTCTCTAAATGAACCCAGTCAATGACGATACTCTTGCTGGGAATCAGCAGCAGCGCACAGCTCACAACTCATCGCTGAAAACCGATATTTCTTTGAAAATTCTACGCCAGTAGCTTGGTAATTATCAGGTCGTCTTTGAGGATCCGATTCCAAGTATTTAGGCGTTCTGACTATCGGTCAGATGACAATTGCCAGCTCAACAAAAGATTCGAGCAAAACACACTATTCTCTTCTGGAAATCAGCCGTATTGGTTCCAAAATTGACTTAAAGTTTATGCTCTGGTTAAACAGTAGTATCTTATTATCTAACTGGCTGTGTAGCCGGTTGTGCTAAGTGTAATCCAACCAATTCGTGCGAAATTGAAGATAGCGTCTACCTATATCGAATCCGAAATGTCAGTCAGGTAGGGACCTACACCCGTATATTTGTGCCCACATAAACATGTGCAGAGCATATGGATCTACGCAAAGTGTGATACTTGCACAACTGTCATGGAGACCTTTGTCCTTTAATGCGTACGTTTACCTTTGTTCTGATATTTGGTTCATATAAACCATTTAGCTGGATAAATGAAAACAGGAAACGAATTTCAGCCACCAATTCACTCTTCTCATGACGTGTCGGTGAGTTACTTTGTCTTTGGTCTGGTATATTGGCCTGAGTCTCCTCGGATGCATTGTTGACAGTAGGAAGACGATCGGCAGTCTGTAAGTACATGATATGTGCTAATAACAGTTCTTAAGCCCTATTATGCTAGAAGCAGAACAATTTTTTGCCAAGTCCATCGAACAGTTGGAAGTGCGTGCCAAAGTTGCTTTGGCTAACAATCGTCGCGTTTTCACCTACTTCCTGGGGACAATAGATCCAAGAACTAACCATAGCTGG